CTGGAGCTGTCAAAGCTGATAAGCACATCAAATTCAGATACCTGTTAAGCTCTGATCAAACTTCACCTAGAAAAAGAAAGCAAAATTACTCACTCTCATGTCCCTTCTCTCATCTGCTTTTGAGTTATGATACTGATAGATTTAGTCCTCCTGAGCTGTTCTTTCTGTTGAGGACGTGGCAGGGAAGGAGGGGTCTGTATTAAGCTGTAGCGCTGAGTCCTACCTGTGGGCTAGTCGCTGTTCATGGGGTTTAAAACTAGACTTCTGATTTCTCTAAGTGGATGTTAAACTGCCTTCCAAGACTGCAGGATGACAAAGGGTCTTGTGCCTTAGAGCAAATGTGCTCATCAAAGAGAGGTGGTGGGAATCTGTGATAGTCAGTCTAGATAGCCCCTGGGCAGCTGCTGTTTCAGTGACTGCTGGTGAGGAGGCAGCAGTGCTCTTAGCAATGGTGCTTAGTGGTGACCTCAAGGACGCTCAGCAGTAGTTCCTGAGGGGAGCACAGGTCTCAGACAGCTGAGCAGACAGCTGAGCAGATTTTTTACCTGGTGTGCAATGACCTTGTAGAAGCTCAGGGATATGGTTTAGTGGGGACTGTTAGTGTTAAGTCAGAGGTTGGACTCGATGATCTTGAGATCTCTTCCAACCTAGAAATTCTGTGATTCTGTGAAACAGTGGACAGAATGGTACATGTGGGGATGGGCTGTCTTTCCTTACTATTAAGGTTATTCTCTGTCTGAGAGTGCTGCTATAGCTTGTAAGGTTGGTTTTACACAGCCCGTAACAGACCTGAAATGGTGGTGCAGGGCTTTTGTGTGCTAGCAGATCTGGAGTTCAGGGTGCAAGGTTGGATTATGTCAGATCTGGAGTTAGTTTATAATTTCAGGGCAATGTGCATATAGCCCTCTTGGTAAACGGGCAATTAGAGGGGACAGACTTGCAGATCCCAGTGTGAGCAGAGATACCGATTTAGAAGCTAAAATGGACCTTTTCTTAAACGTAACAGATATTCCTTCCTGAACACTTCATGCTGCATTGGAAGACCTTTGCGTTCTTGTTTTTTCAATAATTTATAGATCAGATGAATAACTGAACTGTGTTTCTGTCCAATGCTGTGTGTAGGCTAAAGCCACCAGATTCGTTCCCCACTGTAGCAGACAATCAAGCTTCTAATATAGAAAGGTTTGGATAAAGGCTGAGGAAGATACTGGTAGCAGAAACATGAGATCATTCTTTCTTTTGAACGTATTTTTCATGAATAAACCTCTTCAAAGAAATGATCTCCCCCTTCATAGAGGTGTATACACCACATCCTTAATTGCAAAATAGTCAGAAAAGCAGCTTCAGTTATTCACTGACTACAGCAGATTAATGCTCAGCATGTGCTCAAAACAGATAACTTGTAAAACATCAAGAGCTATAACTTTCCCTTCTAATAAATCTATTTCCTTGGTGGGTGGAGGCACAAGATCAATACGATCCTTGTAGATCAAGGAAAACTGTGTTATGTATCTGTCAGTATCCCCGGTTTCAGTATGGGAGAATGAATCCCAGAACAAAACCCATAAATGCCTACCAACATAATTGCAGGCAACAGTAGCTTGAGGGTGTGCAAGAGATCCTAGCTTGTAGTGAACCTGGTGGTGCATCAGTGTGGCCTCTGTTGGCTGTATCGGCTCTGTCTTGAACATGCATCATGATCACATGCCTGTCTGGTGCTGCCGATGTATCCTGGTGTTTGCCAATGAGAAGGCTTGTCAAGGGCATAACAGCCTGTTACAGATATCTCAAACTATTTTGTGACGTTAGTGTGACCAGGGAATCTATACTTGCTCTGTGTTACAGTACGTAGGAAGCACATAATTGGAAAATGAGGCTTCATAGCACTGGCTTATTTGCATAGTTAGTGATAGCTGTAGTTATAAGCTTTCTAGATTTCAGGAAGAAAACCTTTATTTTGTGACAGTTTCACCATTTACTTGAAGTAGTGCTGGGCCTATAAATCTTTTTTTTCTTTTTCTTTCTTTAAAATTGCCTTTTTTTAAACACAATCTCATGAAAGGAGATGTGAACCATTCTACTTTACAGTAAGGTTAGTAGTGTTTGCAGTGCTTACGTGTCCTTTTATAGTGATTCATGTATTTGGTTTATAGAAATTAATGCTTCTAACACAATCATAAGTAAATGTGGAGTGCTTGCTTCAGTACCTGAATGGGTCTTATGATGAAAAGCATTCAAATAAGAGAGGCTTTGTTTTCTCTTCGAGTGGGAAAACCAGAGTCTCCCTCTCTTAAAGGAAGCTTCAGAGTTAGGGAAGGAAAAAAAGTTAACACAGAATAATATATTGGTAAGGAATTACGCTTACTCTTCCATCACAAGGGTTAGGGAATCCTTGTAAAGTATTCTGGAATTGTTGGCTTAAATGTTCATGACTAATCAAATCTGTTGATAGAGGTGGCCTTACTAACGGCTCAAACGCTCTTTATTATTTTAAACATCTGACAGGTTAAACATCTCTTCTTTGATGAAGCAACATAGCTACTATTTTGGTGTGAATAATTCAGAGAATAAAAGGAAACGCAAAGGACCAAAAGTCTCTAAATAGCAAAGGTGTGTGTTTACAAATTGCAGTATTGCCAAAATATTAATTCTGAAAGATAATTGCTAGCTGTCTACTTATCTGGACACTGGTTACACTCCCATCTGATCCTCTTACAACAGTGAAAGAGAAAGGACAGTGATGAACACAGGTGATAAACAAGCAGGGAACTGAAGCAATGACACACATGCCTCCAGTTATTCCTTAGGAAGCAATCTGCAAAAGAAGAATATCTTCAAGATAGGAGACTGTCACATTAATTTCAATGCTCTTTTTATCTTCAAATTATTCTTATTTTAACTTTTCTTCTAAGGATTTAGCTCATCTTGGAAACTTTCATTGTTCTGGAGCTGTAGATTTACTTTTTTTTTTTGTCACAGATGGTCTGTTATTCTGCATAAACAAAAGATAATTACTTCCTACATGATTCCTTAAAGATGTATGTTCATACCTAATCTAGTCCCGTTAGCAGTCTTTCGCATGCAATTACATTAAATGAAATGTTGCATTTCATTTGCAGCTGAAGATTCAAGTCAGACTAGCTTTTCTGTCTTAAAATTACAATGTGTTTTAACAAACCTTTTATATGCTATCCTGAGAGTAATTAGGGCATCAGCTAATACATCAAATAAAGGAGGGGGGAAAAAAAAAGTTTAACTTCTACTTAGATCCTACTGGGGTATTGTTTTTTAGGTGAAGAAACACTCAAAGTGAAAGCCAACCCTGGCTTTTTCCAAGGTCAATTTTATTCTATTTTTTTGGTCATGCCCTGCCATCTGTAGAGCTAGTGAGTCAACTAAGAAAAAGCTCTTTAAAGCATGCCAGAAAACTTCTGGCCAGGAAAATGTAAGTAGACTTTTGACTAACAAAAATACTGAACACTCGGTCTGTGCGATGCATCCTTGCAATGACGGGTTCATCACAGTCCAGTAGGGCTGCTTTCATTGATAATGAAAGTTCATGGGCAAACACTAAGAGACTATTTATAGTTTTACTTGTCCAAATATGACGTAGTTCAGTTCTAGTCCCAACCCTTCTGAAATCATCTTTGTTGAAGACAGGTGTGTGTGCCGAAGTTCTTTTGGCCTATAGTCAAATGTAGCTCACACCATTGCAAGAGATAAGAATTGCAAACTTCGTGTGTGTGTATGGAATCTGGTGTGTGTTTAACGTTAATAAAAATGGTCTGACTACTGCCTATTAGATCAAGATGCCCTTTTGGGGGTAGGAAGGGCTATTTTCAAAGCAGTTCATTTTCTCACAAAGAATGTGATCATACAAGGGACTACTAACGGTGTGCTACCATTCACCTTTCAGGTGGCATTGTAGTTTTGGGCCTGGCATGTTGACTAAGCAAAATGATGCATAGCAGGGAAATCAACCATGTAGGTATTTTTTGGTAATCATTATTATTTAATGTGCTTCTCTACCTTGTACGCTGCTTACATTCCGCAGTGTGGGGACTTGTATAGCTATGAAATCTTGCACGGACTGAATTTGAATTATTTTTACTTTTCTCAAAGGCAGTATCTTTTCTAACAGATGTTTGAAATGTTATTTTAGACTTGTTGGAGACATACTGGCTAGCTGCCAATTCACTGAGAAGCTATAGCTGTCCATTCAGTCTGCTCCTGAAGTGCATATAGCAAAAGCTTTGCTTGGGTGGGAAGATAGTGTTGATGAACAGTAACAGTTTATATTCAGGCATTCTTGTGTTAACATTCAAGAATGATTGTCGGAATACCTTTTACAGAAAAAGTCTGTCTAGATACTAGTTCTAAAAACTAAGCATTTTTTTTTTTTTTTAATTTTGACTTCATAGTTGTTAGAGACTTATTTCAGAAGTGGTTGGGAGAACAATGTGAGAAGAACTGTAGAATTTCTAAAACTGAAAATGCTTTGTGTTTTTTAAATAGAAACTTAGCCATCTGAATCTTCTCTTTGCATTTTGTTTTACAATGGTGTAGTGTCTCAAGATATACCAAAAAGGCCGTTGGTTTAAACATAGAAATGACAAGTTCATCGTGCCATATTGATTTACCTTAATTTCTTATGTAACTTTTCACACAGTTGCACAGGAGCTACTTCTTAAATCTACAGAGCTTATTTAGTGACAATGAGTCAGTAATTGTGATGCTACTTAGTGTAGTACTGTTGTTGTTCAGCAATGCATTGTGTTGAAATAATGAGGCTTGAATTTTAGATAGTAATACATTTAATGCCAGGCTCAGTATAAAGTGAACTGAAAACTTGAAGTTTTTTGAATAAATGACAGGTGGTGCCAAATAAATCAGTTCCCCAAGACACGATATTCATACTGTTCTTCCTATATAAAGTCATAACCTTTTCTGCTCTACAGATGCAAAGATCTGACTTTTTTTTTTTTTTTTTTTTTTTCCAGAAATGCACCCCAGCAGGTACATTGAGTACTGAGCCACCACAGGTATAAGCAGTGTTCATACAAGTGTGAGAGCTCTCAACAGACAGCTGTGAAAGTAAATGGGAGCTGTGTGAAAGCACTTGAGAGGGAGCAGGAACAAAACAAGCACTGGGCAGAGGAGCTGCAGGTAGGAGGTAAACACAGTATAGTGTTCCTGTGTATAAGAGGAGCAATGCCTGGCTCTCATCAAGATTCTTGTTCTCACAAATAAGTGCTATTACCAATGTGAGTAAGCTAAAAAGACCTATTTCTTTTCCAGTCTTTATGGCAACAGCCTGAAGCATGGTTTAAGCAGAATAATTTTACGGTTTCTCTGGAACACATTATAGTCTGGATATAAATTCAGTACTGGCTGAGTTACCTTATAGGGGAAAATGGTGTCCAGTAGGACAGGTTGTGAACTGACGAATGACATCACCCTGAGCAATTAGACTAGCTGCACAGCTGTGCTGATGTCATGCTGCTAACTACTTTTAAGTTTATGGCTATGATATTACCGTTGGTGTAACGATAACAAGAGAGACCACAGGAGGTGGCTATAGGTTTTTCAGATGAAAATATGAGAGAAGACAGTCAGGTATAGATGCTTATAATAGCACTAGCTGCATGAGCTTTCTAAGGAGCACGTTGATCATTCCCTTCTATCTGATGTTTCTTGTGAAAATTTGTTGCTGTTTTGATAGTAAGAATTATGAGTGCCTGCCCTATTTAACCGTCTCGAAAGCACTGAAGTACCTAAGGTCTAGCTCCTGGCACATGGCTCAGTTGCTTTCTTATACAGAAGCTGACAGAGGGCAAGTAATGCAGTGAAAGAGCTGAGTGGGCGTGCTCATTACCTTGACTGGTTTATGGAGCTGGGCATCTTATGCTAGGAAGAGGGAAGGCTGGGCTGTTGTGCACACAGCTGTGCTGGAGCAGTTGTTGAAGTGAGGCTGAAGTGACACGAATGAGACCTGCTAGGACCATGGCTCACGTGAGCACATACTTCAGCAGAACAAGTCCTGTTTTCAGCAGGTTATGAATTCAGGAAGAGCCATGCTGTAGGTTATTACTTGGAATATAACCTATTGCAGAAGTGTGGAGGTTTAATTTCACATACTAGGTGTCACCTGAATGTTAATAAAACTGCTGTCTGCATTCCTCATATTCAGTGTTTCCTGCAGCAGTTTAGCACTGGCGGCTGAGTTCTGCCTCTTGCCTCCTCAGTGAATGCGTCAGTGTAGGAACCTCCTGAGAGCAAGGGAGAAACTCGTTGCTCAGTTTTTGAGACAAGGATGTGTCTAGTGGGTCACTTTACAGATGGTCTTTTTAATGTAAGAATTCATTTTTTCTTTTTAGGGGCTAATTAGTCAACTTTTGGACTGGGGCTTTTGTACAGTGCTTCAGCTTTTCTGGAGACAAATTTAAAGAAATAACTGAATGCAGAAAAAACAATGTTACTGGTAATATTCTTCCCAAATGAGGATGTCTTGACATGCTAAATAAGCTTCTTACCCTGCCTTTCTTTCCCCAAAGAAATAAACTGTCAATAATATTAACCATGTCTGAGATGTTTTGAGAAGGCAGAGGGAACCTCTCTGCTATGCAAGAGAGCACGTTGCTTGCTGAGTACAACGAGCACTGAGTGGGACCATCCGGTGTGAACTGTATATACTTCATGAGATAATGGCTGCACGTGTTGTCTCAAGTACAGAAACTGCAGGAGTGCCTCTGGGAAAGTCGATTGCCTCCAGTCCACCATTACGTGGGAAAATTTGGACTATTTTGGCAGGAGGAAGTGTGAAACTGATTTCCATGGGAAAACCTAAAGAAAAAAAACAACACGGGTTTTCAATGGGAAAACCTACAGAAAAAGAAAATTCTATTTTTTTCCCCATATATTGGCCACATTATAATGGGGTTCGCTTAAGAAGGGGATGAATCATAAATCCAGCATTATCATTGGGAGTATCACATCTAGATTTATGTTATAGGAACATCAAGAGTTTCAGGACCATCTTCTGAAGACATTTGTTGGTAGAGCTTTTTGACTTGATGTGGTGTCAGCTCCTAATTGCCATGGGTTTCTGAGGGCTGGAAGCCCTGAGAGTGGGTGATGTCCTCAGATGGTTACAGTAGCCCCAGAGGAGTTCCCATGAGCAGGGCTGACCCATGCAGTCAAGAAGCCTTTCCTCGGCACCTCAAAGGAAGAGGGAGATGACTTTTGGAGGCATTTTCTGTGGTTTACTTGAGAACCATTTAAGCTGTGCTGAATTACAGTTGTGTTTGGAAGAGGAGCTGCCTCTTCTGATCATTGCTAATGTAAGGTAATGCTGCAGCTGGTGGTGCTGGGTGAGGAAAACCTGGGCAGAGTTGACTAGCCAGCCAGGCTATCATTTCTGTGCTAGTGTTTTTTTAAGAATCTCATGTTCTCCCAGCCCCATAAAAAGAGCTTAAATGTTGCAAGATGATGTTGCGTAAAGTAGTATTTCAGCAAGGGAACAGCTGATGCACTAACAGAACTCTGCACTCATCCTGGCTCATGGGAGAAATTATTACAAATGTTAATAATAATAATAAAAATAAAATAGAAGCATCATAAATGCAAATTTGGCAACATGTGCCAGCGGTGTTGGGAAATCTGGCTGGTTTGAGAGAGCAGGCAGCTGCTGGTGTCTCCTCCTGTATTTATTTCAGAACTCTGCTTCGTGATGTAAAGCATTGGTTCACATTTAAGATTCAAAGGTAGGTTGGAAAGAGTCTGATATGAATCGTGATCCTTAAAAGTGATTGCAGTGGCAGGGTTTAAACCACCAGCAGTGTTGGTAGTTGCTTTGCAGAGATGGATGCCATGAGCAATTTGCAACAGCGAAGCATCTTCTGTGACACTGAGTGATGCTCGACTTGGCTCTTGGCACCACAGAGCTGAAGTGAAACTGCTGATTTTTATGATGAATGTGGAAACAGATGGCTAGGTGAAGAAACAACACTGAAGCTTGCAGTCATTGGTTACACAAGATGCAAATACCTAGCATGTGTGTGCTCCTAATGAAAGCTGCAAAGGAATTGGTATACATTTGGTCCTTTCTGCAACCTTTTGTATGTGCAGATTGTGTGACAAGATAAGTTAACTATACTTGCTGTTTTGGTATGGCGTTGAGGAGGTAAAAGATTTTTATTTTCAACAAAGGTAAAAAGATCAAGTGGGAAATCCTTCTAGAGACAGCCAAAGCTTTAGAAACCTTGTGAATGTTGCAGGTGATACTTAAACAAAACAAAACAAAACACCAAAGCCTGTAGCATTAGATAAACTGCTGACAGTAAAATTCTGTTGTCTGATTAAGTGGTGGTAATGATATAACACTGGAATAAGTGATAGGAGTGATTAGTTAGTATTTTTTGCTGTGATTATTAACATGCATATTGTCTATTAAAACTGGAAACAATGAGACTATGAAGTATACTGCTTAGAAATCTCTCGTCTAACGTTTGCCAGAATGCGGCAAGTAGAATCGTACAGTAATTCATTTCTCTGAAACAAAGGACAAAAGTTCATGATCTTGGCCTACAAGGTAACCCTATGTCTGAAATTTTCCATATGTGTAGATATTTCATCTGCCAGGCTCAAAGCAGATGTTTGGAAAAGAAGTGTGCAAGCTGTTCCTGCGGGTGATTCGTTAAGTTGACTGCAGCTAGTTTGCAATCTGAAAGGTTAGTCTTAAGGAGGTAAAGTTAAAAAGCTAATGGCAACTGAATTGATGCCCTTCAAGTTTATCTTATAAACTAATGAATAGTATTCCGGTATTCCCTGTAAGTTTCAGAAATTAAAGAGGTGATGAAAACTCTTTTCATATATTCATAAATATTTATGTTTGCAGTATTGAAAGGTATTTTTTGCCTGGGATCTTTCATGCATGAAGAATACAGTTATTTTGGGGATATTTTGCAATAAAAAAAAAAAAAAATGCCCCTGGCATTAAGATGTATCCAAATACAAAACTATTGAGGAAAAAAACTCTTGAGGAAAAAAAAAATTATAGTGTAGGGAGTATTGTGCAAAATGGGTAACAGGTGTGAATCCCAGTGGTACTTGTCAGCTGTTTAATGAAAAGAATGGTTCTTGGAGAAGGATTGTAGTTATTACTTTAATTCTTACTATACATAGCCTTATTTCATCTGCCTTGATTGCATGAAAATATCTTAAAAACCAAACTTGCTGTAAGTGCCTTCTCTTCTCTATGCTAAAAAGTCCCAGCTCTTTCATCTTCTCTTCATGTGTCAGATGCTTCAATCCCTTAATCAACTGTGTCACCCTTTATCAGGCTTATTCCAACATATCCATGTTTCTTGCAGGGGGGAGCCCAGACTTCAGCACTCTAGAAATAACCTTTAATCAGTGCTGAGCAGAGGGGAAAGACCTGTCTCCCAAACCTATTGGCACCACTTGTCCTAACGTATCGGATAATGCAGCCCACTCGCTGCTTTCTTCTGGTGCTCTTGCATTGCTCAGGTTTATCTGGCTTGGCTGCTGTCTTGAACAGAAACCTCAGCCCCCCGTTGGCTGTGAGGACACTGGTTCTGTTCTGTAATTGCAGATCCTGAGGTGGAGCAGAAACGTTCCTCATGGTGCCAGAAGTCACAAACTAACTTCCAGCCTTTACCATCCTGGGAGTGTCTGCTTCCCACCCTGGCAGGCACAGGCTCTGCTTGACGCTTCCTCAAGAAAGTTGTTTGTTTGGACATTAAAAGCTGCAATCTTGGAGGAGATATGGTTAATTTCTCATCTCTGATGCTGTGCAGTCTGCTGACCTCCTCCTGCAGCCCCTTAGCTTGGTGGAGCAGCTCCTCAATGACCACACATCTCCTGTGGGCTGGAAGGTGATCTCCCACAGCTTCTTCCTCAGCAAGAGGCTCCAGGCACCCCCAGCAGCCCCAGACCTGCAGCACTGCCTCCAGCACTGAATAACTAGGGTTATTCAGCAGAAACTTGCTTTTCAGGTACATGTTAGTACTTTATGTTTGGATGCTTGACTTACTGCAAAAAAATACCACTTCAGAGTGCCAAAATCTGCCTAGGCATTCAGCAGGAAAGAAGTCAAAGAAAAAACTTGCCAGGGAGAACATGGCAACATTTGTGAGCCTGGAGTGCAGTGAACCTAAAAAATAATGGGAGGATGATTAACAGACAAGCTGCTAGCTATTGCATAGATCATCATGCAAATAGTTTTCCGGTATTACCAGCTGGATATTGCTGCAGTGGGCAGGCTGCAACAGAGTCCTTCAGTTTGGCTATTTCTGTGGGGATTTGGAGATATTTGTATAAATGTACACAATTACCGGCTCAGAGTTTACCTGCAGCAGGAGTGATTCTAGAGATTGTAACCTTCTACATGCCAAATGCGGGAATAAATTTCTGTTCTATTTTAGCGTGCTCTGTACCTACTTAACTACTGTTCTCCATTCCACTTTTGCTCTTATACTGCCGTTAGCCAGTGATTTCAGCTTTATAACTACTGGATATTAAAGATAGTTTTTTTTGGTTTTTTTTTTTTTTTTTTTTTTTTTTTTTTTTTTTTTTGCGTTGGCTACCAATATATCAGTATTGCACAGTTGTTTTTTAGCCAAACTACCTGTTTAAAGGAAGCCCAAATTACAGGTAACGTTCAGTCAGTCGACCAGTTCAAGGTTGTAAGTTCTGTCTGATGGGGAAGGTAAATCTTAGCAGAAAAGCATGTAATATACCTATGTTACATAAAAGGCTTTCTGAGTATTATTATTTTAGATGTCTTCTCTTTTATGCCTGTGGAATAGAGTAGTTCAGTTGGAAGGGACCTTCAAAGATTATCTAGCCCAACTCACTGACCACTTCAGGGCTGACCAAAAGTTAAAGCACGTTATTGAGGGCATTGTCCAAATGCCCCTTTAAACACTGACAGGCATGGGGCATCAACCACCTCACCAGGAAGGCTGTTCCAGCGTTTGACCACCTGCACAGTAAAGACATTTTCCTCATGTCCAGCCTGACCCTCCCCTGGCACAGCTTTGTGCCGATCCTGCCCGTCCTGCCATTGGCGACCATGAGCAGAGGCCAGCACCTCCCTCTGCGCTCCCCTTCTTCAGGGAGTTGCAGAGGGCCATAGGGTCATATCTCAGCCTCCTCTTCTCCAGACTGGACAACCTAAGTGTCTCTCCTCACAGGAAATGCCTTCCAGCCCTTTTATGAACTTTTTTTTTTGCCCTCCTATGGATACTTCCAAGGACTTTAATGTCCTTTTTATATTGTGGAACCCGGAACTGCACGCCTCATTCAAGGTGAGGCTGCACCAATGCTAAATACAGCAGGAGAATCACCTCTTTTGACCGGCTGGCTGTGCTGTGTTTAATGCACCCCAAATGTAGCACAGAAAGGAACTCCATGTATCTATTGCAGTTGTCTGGTGTTGTGGAATATTTACCGTGTGTTGTTCAGGCCAGAGAACCTAAAAAGTCCTTTTATGCCTAGAACAGGAAGCTACTTTTCTGTAGCAGTATTGTGGCTGGAAGAAGCGTGAGCTTAGCACAAGAATCGGGGCTTTCAGAAGAATCTAAGGTGTCCTAGATCTGAGATGTAGTTACAGCATTATTGTATGAGGATAATGGTCCTGTGTCAGTACATTGCCAATACATTGCTATGTTAGGATAATTCAATGTGGAAAGGACATCAGGAACTCATCTACTCTAGCCCCCTGCTCTATGGGGAATGAGGCAGGAAATCAAAGCTGCAGATAGAATGGTATAGGAGTTTAAAAGCAATACATGAAATTTGGGCAAAATACAGGGGTATTCAGAGAAAACTTGTGTTCCTTAAACATGAACTGTTTACTTTCTGTGTATGCATGTTGTGTGCACTTGCTTTATATGTGAAAGCAAATTCTTTATCTGTGTAATATCCATGGCAGCTTGATTATAGAAGAGGTTTTATGATGAAGATGGAAAGAGACCTCTCTAACTTGCATGGACACTTCCATAAAAGAACCCAGAACTTAGGCCATGGGATGGTTTCTCTCCTCTCCTTTGTTATTGGCAACTGGAGTGACTGTGGTGGTGTTTTTTTTGTTTTGTTTTGTTTTTTCTTGGTACTCTTATTTTTTATTTAATTGGAAAGCACTCTTGGTTTTAGTTGCTGAAATCAATTTATTACACTTCTGCTACAAAAATATCTTCAATAAGGGAAAGCTTTAGAAAGGACTGAGAAACTGGCTGAAAAAAACATTTTTAAGTCAAATTCATTTGCTGAAAAAAAGTTGAGAAAACTTTATTTCCTGACCAACCTTATTACATATCCCAAAAGCTTTGTATGTTGAAGGAGGGGAAAAAAGTAATTCTAACAAAACATTCTTCTTAGTACTTGCTTCTGCCTGACACTTGCAGCTTCTCTGAAGTGTTCAACTTAGTCACGAATCACGGCTACTTTTTTTTTCCCCTTAACATCTTGTTTCTTACCTTTTTAGGGAACAGGACCTTATATACAAAAAACCTAGACAAAAGTCTGCATGTAGAAACTGAATGCAGATAGCATGGGGAGCTGTGCATTTTGTTGTGGTACTTGTGGCAAAATGACAAAATGTACAACCAGGTCAGTAGCTGAAACCAAACCATGCCGAATATTTCCTTTAGGAAAGTTTATTTTAAAGCTCTTTTAACACTTAATTAAGACATCTCAGAAAGCCATGCACTTTCCTAATGTAATTATGAGAAAGCTGTTTAGTTAAATTGCTGATGGTTGTCTAGACATCCTACTGGAATCTCCTGAGTTGGATTTTAATTAAATGAAGGGAATTTCTATGGTTCTAGACAGAAGTATTTGGCTCAGCTGTCTTCTTGTTGGAGATGTGGTTTGGAGGAGAACTTACAGTTCCTATAGGTATAGGAGAAGATATCTGGTTTTGAAATTAGATACCGAATAGAAGAGAGCAATTTGAGTTATAAAGAGTACAACTTTTATTACCACTTCCAGGGATGATCATATTCCTGAAAGGAAGCTAGGGCTATAGCAATGCGGCTTGGCAATAACTGAGAACTTGAGAGAAATGTTTACAATTCCCTGTTGCTGTCCATAATTACATCACTGCTTTCTGCCTCAGCAGCATACATTGTTGTTTGACTTTATTTTTTTAGCCCTTCAATTTTTTATTTTTTTTTTTTTTTGGGGGGGGGGGAGGGGGCATAAACTGTAATGTCTGATAGAAACAACCTTCCACATTTTATGGTGCTGTTCAGAATGAATTATCCTCTGTAAGTTGCTTAAATCTATGGGACCTCTTAGCAATTAGGTTAGTATTCACATCATCTACTCAATTTATTTCTCCACTATTGGCTTGGCATGCAAATTTGAAAGTTGGTTTCTTGGAAGCAGACGTACTACAGGAGTCTTTACTCCACTGGTACAGGATCAAGTGCAAACTATCCTGATTCCACTTGAGCATTCAAAATTCTACCTATCAAGAGTAATTACTGAGATTTTGTGAGGGAACTGTGGGTGGGTCCCTCAACTAAATGGAAAGTTAATGTTGAATGTTTTCTTGATTTGTGTCTTAAACATAGAAATATTGGCTCTGCTATTTTTGAGACTAGAAGTGAAATTAAATGCTATGTTAAGTATTAGCAGATGCTACAGGGTTGGACAGAATAGGAAAGGAACCTCTTGTGGGCAAATGGTGGGATTTAAAACTCTAAATCTGTGTGTACAGGCTGTCATGTTGGCAAAGTAGCTGGTTTGCTGATGAAGTTCTTAAAGTCTTTCTAGAACATTTTAAACCAGATATAGATGGCCTTATAGGAACAACAACAAAAAAATCTGAATATCTATAATTTTGAGAAAAGATTCTGAATTATATATACTTTTTTAGTTTTTTTTGGGGGGGACTACATTTATTATCTACACATGCAGGCTGTTTCTTTCATTAGCGTGATACTGAGTATGGACAATTGGTTCTTAAACTGATAAAGTGATTGAAGTCAGATTAATTTTAACCCAGCAGTCATCCAGCAAAATTGTTTAACCTTTATTAGTATTACATATTTTTAAGTTGGTTACTCATCTTTGGAGAAGATATATCTGGTTACCTGACCTCACTTTCAAAGTAGTATTTTTTTATTTTTTATTTTTAATGACCTTAACGCTGCTCCTGACACCATTTGCTGGTTCTGAAACACAAAGTGGAATCAGGCCTGCAACTTTGGTCAGGATATGGAGTTGAAACATCCAGTTGTGTTTCAGTAAGGTATAGATGAGGTCATAAACTCAAATTGTATTGGTATATATTTTAAGTTTTCTGTATTGTTTTTGTCTTGTGAGGAAGATAGTTTCCTCTTTTCTTTCAGGACCAAGAGGTATTCTGATGCATAGAAAAATCATGATCTCATACCCTGTTATAAAGAAAATTTATCTTTGCTTTTAAAGAATGATTTATCTTTGAAGTTGTGGAGCAAGAATTATGGAATGCTTTGGAGATGGAGGCATGTGGGCACATATACTGTGATGCCACTGGCAAAAGTAGCATCTTTAGAGGGTGTAAAATTTCATTCTTGTATACTCCAAAATTTCCACTGAGATGTATGGCATCTCTTCCTAGTGAGCAAGTTAGAAAGAAACAAGTATTTTCTTTGTTTCAGTTTTTATCAGTTAGGCCTCCTGAACTGTTTTGCCTAGAGGTAGCATTCAAGGTAGATAGGTACTACCAGTATGGGAAGAGGGTGGACAAAGGGTTCTCTTAAGAAATCTTACTGCATTAGTCTAAGGGACCCGATGGGGTCACAGAAGTCCCCTTGGAAGGGACCTCTGGAGGCCATCTGGTCCAACCCCTCTGCTCAAGCAGGGCTGCCCAGAGCAGGTTGCCCAAGACCATGTCCAGGTGGCTTCTGAAGACCTCTGAGGAGGGAGACTCCCCAGCCTCTCTGGGAAACCTGTGCCGATGCTCAGTCACCCTCACAGTAAAGAAGTGTTTCCCGTTGTTCAGACAGAACCTCCCGAGTTTCAGTTTAAGTGCCTATTGTCCTCTCACTGGGCAACACTAAAAAGAGCCTGACTTAGTCTTCTTTACACCCTTCAGATATTTACAAACAATAATGAAGTAACCTGAGGCTTCTCTTTACCAGTCTGAACAATCTCAGCTCTCTGTCTTTCCTCATAGGAGAAATGCTACAGTCCCTTAACCATCTTTGGGTCTTTACTCGAGTTCCTCCTCTATGTCCAGGTCTCTTTTGTACAGGGGAGCCCAGAACTAGACACAGTGCTCCATGTGTTGCCTCACCAGTGCTGAGCAGAGGAGAAGGGTTATCTCCAGCAGTAATAGGGAGGTGATCGTCCCCCTGTGCTCCGCTCTGGTGAGGCTGCACCTCAAGCACTGTGTTCAGTTTTGGGCTCCTCACTACAAGAAGGACATCGAGGCCACGGAGCATGTCCAGAGAAGGACTATGAGCCTGGTGAAGGGCCTGGAGCGCAAGTCCT